GGGCTGCCCAGTGTGGGACAGTGACCAGCCCTGTGCCTTTGGTGCCCCTCTGCCACTCATGGCAGACCCATTCACACCTCAGTTAGCCACTTATGGAGAAGAAAGCGCAAGTGCAGCTGGGGAACCTGTCCAGACTGTGATGAATCGGTTCCCAAGCCTGCCGTTGCCATGGCAGCCAGCTGGGAACACCGTTTCTAGGGCCTGAGGCGAGCAGACTGCATGGGGGATGCTGCCCTGCTGGGCTGCTGCCCGCTGCTCCCTCCACCCTGGCCTCCTGGCTCCCTTAGCAACGGCCATTGCCATTTTCATCCCAACCGCCAAGGCAGCTCTAGGCTGGCCAGGCAGGCTGGGAGGCTTGGTGGAGGTGCGTGGTGTGACACAGCCAAGCGTCAAGGTGGAAAGGGGAAGGAGAGGAAAGTTCTGGCGATCCTAGCTGTGGTACAAGGCTGCCTCCTGCTTATACAGAGACCAGGCTCCTAAACTTGGGCTGGTGGAGCCCAGGCTGTCCCATGACCACCGGGACTTCTAGGAACACACGTGCACCTCTGGGGACATGTGCATTTTTCTGGAGTTACGGTCAGTAGATTTGAGCAGATTCTGAAAGATGACTAAGGTCCCCCATAGGTAAGAACCTTAATGGCAGAGCCTTTTCCTTTCTGGAATCAGAACAATTGCAGGGACAGGCCTGCTCTATTCTTAGAAACAAGAGTGGGAGCCTATATGTGCTGCCCTGGTCTGCTCCCTCCCATGGAGCCCCCAAGGTCTAGCATTGTGGACCTCTAGGAACAGGGAACAAGGTGTCTCCTAGTATGGTCTCTGTGTTCATCTTGCCCTTCTCTCCTCTGGCAGCTTGGCCCTGGGGGCCCTGAGCTCAGTATTATACACACAGTCTACACTCTCTCGTTTAATATCCACATGGCACCATAACACCCTCTGGAATGTTTTCTTTTTATTGTTATTCTTTTCAAATGTATTGTTTTGTTCCATGAGAGAGACAGAAAGAGACAGAAAAGCATGAGAGACAGAGGGAGAGAGACACTCCCAGTGGGGTGCAATCCACTCCAGGCCTCGACCGGTCTGGATTGCAGGCATACATACATGTCTGGCGTGTCCAGGGAGACGTTAAGATGTGAACTGGGGACCCTCCTGTGTGACCTCAGCATCCCACTAAGCTGCTGCCAGCCCACCAGTGCCATTTAAAAGGTGAGGCTGTTGGAACAACACAAACTGTAAGTGGTTTGTCTGAGTTCCCACAACTGGAAACTGGCGAGGTGGGGTAGCTCAGTGGGGAGCCATCAGGGGTGTGGCCCTGGGCCAGAGTGCCATGTCTGTACCCTAAGATCCAATAGACAGTTATGGCAGTTACAGGAGTTGAAATGGTACTTAGTGCAGTGTCTGCGACTGAATGGACCGAGTTAAGCCCAGAGGGACTGGGCAGTGGGTGTGCCTAGCTCTGAAGCTCAGGGCTGCCTGGGAGGATCCTCCTGCCCTCCCTGATCCTGGCTCCAGCTGACCCGGAGTTTCCCCGCTCTGGGCTGTGCCTTGCGCTGAGCGAGTGCCAGGGGTGACAGGCTGGCACCTGGACTTACTTACCTCTGTCTCTATGGGTAGGGATTCTGACGCCACCGTGTTTTCTCCGAGGACGGCTGTATAGTAATCTCTATTGATTCCTCAAAGATCAAACCTTACGCCCTTTGGGACAGTCCCCGGTGAGCCGGTGAGCCGGTGGGGCTGCAGAAACGTGCTCCATACCAGAATGAGCCCCAGCACGTGCCCCGCGGTGGCGCCCCTTCCCTCCTAGGAGGCTGGGGCAGGGAGCCCAGGGCCGCGCCCCCCAGGCGGGCAGATGGCACAGTGCCTTTGGGTACCCATGTGCCTGGCGCAGCAGCCAAGATGGGGATGCTTAGGAATCCCGGGGAGGCAGCTGGGTCCCGGCCCTGGTTGGCAGGGGTGCTGAGGAGGCAGGTGAGAGGCCGGAGGGAGGGAGGGGAGGAGAATGGGCGGGGCCGGGCCGCAGTCCAGAGGGTGTCGCTGAGCCCTTCTCTATGAGGGTGAGGAGTCAGTGGGAGGAGAACGCGCTTCTTAGTCACTGCGGAGCAGAAACACAACGAGGCATTATCCAATCAGCTAATGGAGGGGCGCGCGCCCTCTAGGCGGCTGGGAGGGAGGGGCGCTTGCAAATCCCCCTTTTTGTTGCCCCCAGAAGACACTCAGAGCCTAGAGCAGATGGCGAGGGGGAAGAGGTGGGCCCTCGTTCTTGAGTCACTTGGCTGCCGGGTACCTTTTTGGGGCGCTGGGAAGCACACACCCAGCCGGCGTCTTGGACACGCGCAGCCTGCTGGGGGCGGCCAGGGTCGCACCGAGGAGGCGCAGTGCGAATGACTGGCGGCCCAGTCAGAAGGCATAATTGGAGGTGATTAAGCTGTGGGG